CATAAAAATTTACATTTTGTAGGCAAAATTGTGAGATTTTTCGGTTTGAATTACCAGGAGAACAGGAATTGCAGAAGGTGACCAACGATCGTTTGGTTTTCGGTAGCTACCTGCTGCTGATTATGATCGCCTGGTAATTCAAGCCGAAAAATCTACAATTTGCCATAAAAATTTACATTTTGTAGGCAAAATTGTGAGATTTTTCGGTTTGAATTACCAGGAGAACAGGAGTTGCAGAAGGTGACCAACGATCGTTTGGTTTTCGGTAGCAACCTGCTGCTGATTATGATCGCCTGGTAATTCAATCCGAAAAATCTACAATTCGCCATAATAATTTACATTTTGTAGGCAAAATTGTGAAATTTTTCGTTTTAAATTACCAGGCGAACAGGAATTCCAGAAGGTGGCCAACGATCGTTTGGTTTTCGGTTGCAACCTGATGCTGATTATGACCAAACACACATATGTCCATACATACATACATACATACATACATACATACATAGTTACATACATACATAGTTACATACATACATACATACATACATACATACATACATACATACATGCATACATACATACATACATACATACATACATACATACATACATACATACATACATACATACATACATACATACATACATACATACATACATACATACATACATACATACATACATACATACATACGTACACATACATACATACATACATACATGACCACAAAATGTAAAAATTTATGGTAAATTGTAGATTTTTCGGTTTGAATTACCAGGAGAACAGGAATTCCAGATGGTGACCAACGATCGTTTGGTTTTCGGTAGCAACCTGCTGCTGATTATGATCGCCTGGTAATTCAAGCCGAAAAATCTACAATTAGCCATAAAAATTTACATTTTGTAGGCAAAATTGTGAGATTTTTCGGTTTGAATTACCAGGAGAACAGGAATTCCAGAAGGTGACCAACGATCGTTTGGTTTTCGGTAGCAACCTGCTGCTGATTATGATCGCCTGGTAATTCAAGCCAAAAATCTACAATTTGCCATACAAATTTACATTTTGTAGGCGAAATTGTGAGATTTTTCGGTTTGAATTACCAGGAGAACAGAAATTCCAGAAGGTGACCAACGATCGTTTGGTTTTCGGTAGCAACCTGCTGCTGATTATGATCGCCTGGTAATTCAAGCCGAAAAATCTAAAATTTGCATTAAAAATGTACATTTTGTAGGCAACATTGTGAGATTTTTCGGTTTGAATTACCAGGCGAAGGAATTCCAGAAGGTGACCAACGATCTTTTGGTTTTTGGTAGCAAACTGCTGCTGATTATGATTGCATGGTAATTTAATCCGAAAAATCTACAATTTGCCATAAAAATTTAAATTTTGAAGGCAAAATTGTGTAGAAAACTTCTAGCTTTCAATGCACTTAATTAAGCGATACCTACAACTGTTCGCATGGTTCTTGAAGTTGCAACAGTTTCCCCAGTCTAAGAAAAAACGTTTAGTTAATGATTCGAATCATTTTTATTTTATCTTTATTTCTCAAATATTTTCAATAATAATTAATATTATAATAATTAATTAATTAATGCTTGTAACATAACAAATATTCTTCTCGTATTATTGCAATCTCAATGCTGCGCGTAATAGAATATTTCGGTGACATCGCCGCAGGCTGCAAATTCGGTCTCTTCCACTTAGTTACTGCCACGTGTCTTCAGTTTGCTCTTTACTTCTAAGTACCTTCAGCTTAACAAGCTCAATGCATCGATTCCTACGTACAGTTTTATCTTGCATTTCACTTTGTGCCTTCAAATTCAATTGCAATATGAAAATGTACCTTAGGACTTAAAAAATTATTTAAGAGTCATGTTAATTCGTTTTGACGATTCATGCGCTGGTTTTGTTTTGGTGTTGCTTTTCTTCGCAATCACAAAACATTTAAATATATCCATACACTTTAGTTTTTGATTTTTTTATATACAATACACATAAGAGATTTGTAGTAAAATTTGGTGAGAAAAATCTTGCATTACGTAAACATCGCCGTTTAGTTTTACTTTATCATTTAGAGCATAAAATGATTATTTTGTCGTATTACCATTAAGTTGTACAATTAGAGAGCGCAAAAGTTTTAAGGTGTTCTTGCTTGGTGTATACTAAAAGTTTGATTTTAGAAATGTTTGATTGTTTCGCGTGTGTCTGTTCGCAGTTGAGTTAGTTAAGCAGTTAAGAGTTGAGGTTGCTTGCCAGACTTTCTGGGAAGCTGATACCTGGTAGTGAAAGTGTGCGGTGACTGACATAGCTTTTTTCAAATTTCTTCTGAAGACAGGGGTACCAATAAAACAAATATTTAGCTGGTCCTTACCGGCACTCTTCTTTACTTTAGTCATTCAATCGATAATTGTTTAATTGTTAATATTTTATACTTGGCCCCTATATAATTTTTTCAGTAATGCCTGACCTATGAAAAACCGCATTAGACAGACCAAGGAAATCAAACCTTTAATAAAAGCAAGGGAAAGGGGAAAATTGCAATTGAAAAGAAAATCAAATGAAAATTGTAATTGATTTATGTGTATCCGTATTAAATTCACTGATGCTAGTTTTCTTTGTTAGTTATGTTTTAAACGTTTACCTTTTTACTATAAAGTAGGAACTTCTGCCTGTTGTGAACTTTTATGATTTACTAAGTGGTCTCAAAAAATGCTGTGAAAAACAATTAGGATAAAAGCATCATGTGAAGCACATACAGATTTAGCTAACTATAAGTAAAGGTAATGTGTAGTATATTCGTTTTATAAGGTTGTCTTATTTTACGAACCAAAAAAATCAACCCATAAACGTAACAACGTTTTTGATTTGCGTCATTTAACTTCGCCATAAACCACATATATTTTCCTCTTTCAAAAGATATCTCAACTGAATCTGAGCGACAAAAACATAATTACTCCGTATAAAAAACAACCAACACAAACTGCTATTCTGTACAAATTATTATAAACATCTCTGCTTAATGTTGTATTATCGTCTGTCTCTTCCAATGTTCTGAAAAATTTCCCTATGCTTCCATCTATGACTTCCGCGTTTTCTTACTTCTTAAATAAATACTTTTTTTTACTTTTGCCGAACTAACAATTTGTAGCAAGCACTGCTTCTATGTTTCCCTTTTGGTTTTACTCTATCAACCCTGTTTGTGTATTTGGACTATACTGAAAAATAGCGGCCTCAAGCAAGGCGGAAATTACATAAATTAAGGGATCTACAGAAAAAAGGTGGGGGGTCTAAATAAACTATTCATGTGTCAAAAAATGCTGATATGTTTCTGTTCATGTCAAATATGTTGTGCATGTAGTTCCGTAACTCAAAACTGTTTATCTCCCATCTTTACGTTGACTTGATTGTAGTTTGTGATTAGTTTTGACTCTGGCATTCCATGTGGAGTCAATCGGTATATCTCTCTAATAATGTGCTGCGTTCTCATCGACACTTTAATGTATAGTTATTCCTACAATTACATATAGTACATACACATATATATCTGTTTCATCTAACTGTTAAAGTAGCACATAGATAAGCCTGCGTGTGTTATGCCACACACACATGGCACACATGGCTCACAACATTCGAACATGTGCTCCTCTGGTATCCTCTTGTATATGTAACTTTCGATTAGTCTTCGCTTTTTGTTTCACTATGAATTACGGTAAAATTTCTTCTTGCAACTATTAATGTACAACATAAAACTGTTGGCTTTTCTAAGACCCCATCACTAAATTTTCCAATTCTTGATCCTGCGATTAGGCCGATCAAGATCACATTGGTTTCGACATTTTGACTGCGGCCAATGCATCTCGTTGCGATCTTATTTTGATTCTCTGTTTCTAATCGGTTCTTCAATTCGGGACTTCAATGTAAGTGTAAATTAATTGTTAGTCGTTTCTCTACATGGTAAAGTAATACTTTTAGTGTACTGTTTGTCAATTAGCATTGCCTACTTTGCGCATCTGACTTCTTGCCTTCGCCTTCGCCTTTGCATTTTGTTACTGTATCTGGATTCAATGTATATTCATGATAGGTATTTGATTTATTATATGCTCTATTAGTTATATTAATTCGTATGCTGCTCGGTGTCGTGTTTACTATCAACATTTACACGCAGTAGCGCCTTTGTATCTATATTATCGTTGGGCTAAATATTTGATTACTCTTTGAACGCTGCATACCAACGATCAGAAAGGACACCGATCTGATTCTCGTCCTTAACCGTGCTGATTGTTTAGTAGAAGTGGTTGTTGTGAAAGGGTCCGATTGGAATCGTTTAACGTATTCTGGGTAGCTTCGGCTGTATGCAGTTGTAGAAGTAAGTTCGCTAAATACTTTTATGAAATTTTGATTTGTCAAGAGTTCTCGTATGAAATTCTAGCAGTCGTGGGTCTGATATAGATGTATATCATTTCGCTTCATCTCGCTTCGATGCGCTAACAAAACGTGTAAATTGTTTATATATAAATATAGTAGAGATAGACATAGATCATATGTAAGTAAGATAAATAGGTTAAAGGTTAAGATTATTTGGATAGCTAGTTGCAGTATGCATATGAAACGCTAGAGTTGGCATTAAAATGTTTGGTAAGCGTTCTGTGTTATATGAAAATGTAGGTAGTCATTGTCAACTTTTTGTTGTGAGCTGATTTAAACAAAGTTTTTCAGACGTGATCCGTTTGCCCACTTCGGTTTCTGTATTTCTGTATTGCCTGCGCGATTGTTTAATAACTGTAAATATAGTGTTAAATTAAATTTTACATTATACAATATTTTACTGTTGCTTTTCGTACACGTTTTCGTTTAAATATACTCATTTCATTTTTCCTTTCTTGTTAATTTTGTATTGTAATTTACTTGTTTCCTTTGTGTTTGTTTTAATTTTAAATTACGATCACTTCTACTCATGCTTACGAACTAAATCCATATCATGTAAGTTACATTTAGTTGATTCATTAACCATTTCTGTATTCTGCCTTTTATTATACTTATTCTCATTTCGTTTGTTCTTTGCTCCAACATACAAATAATTTCACTTTCTAAATATATATAAACTTCCATATTTGTTTACATTTGTTCGCTTCTGCATGCGTGTGTTTCTGTGTGTGGTGTCCGTTGTGAGGTCCTTGTAAAATTATCAAAAAATCATTCAGTTTTCTTGCTAAAACACGTATATGTCTTTCGTTACCAGTATGTCTATGATTATATATTATTACCTTTTGTGTTTTGATATATGCTTTAAGATTATACTTTTTAGCTTAAAATTTGTTTAATTTCCTGTTTCCTGTTTGTTGTAGTTCAATACATACTTAATTATATGTATATTTGATCGTTTTGTATAATTTGCGCTAGTTTAACAACATTTACATATACATACACACAAAAGGTTTACGTACGCGTTGATTTAACTGCCTTTAAAATTATTATTCTCCCGATACTCTAAACAAACGGACGTGCCAAGGATATATCTTTGCAGTGTCCAAATTATTGATTTATATAGGTTTATTAAAATTAATACAATTTTCTTAAATTCCAGTTAACGTTATTTCACATTGCCTTTCTTTACTTCAATCTGTTTAGGGCTCGATGTGCTTATTCGGGACCGTTTTTCTAAATACCTTCTTAATTTTTAGGTCTAGCGAAATTAAAACATTTATGAGCTACGTGTACGCTATTTCTTCAATTGAAGTGGCGCACTTGTAAAAAATTAAAGTTAAGTTGCATTCATTTAAAATATAATAACAGCATCATGTACATAATAAAACATTGCCTTAATTCATTTTTAACATAATTTTTCCTTCCGTATGTTTTTGACTTTCTGTCGTTTTTTAAAACCAAAACACAGTACAGTGCACTAAAAATATTTTAAGTTACGATCTTTCTCTCTTTACTTTAAACATACTTAACTCTTTCTACTCATCATATATTTTTGTTTTCTTTTTGTTATGCAATGCAGTTTTCTTACGATCTATAGGTTTAAAGTTAAGCTTATGTTACGATGTTGCTGATTGTTAGTTTGTGGGTTGCTTGTTTGTTTTGTTGTCTGCGTGTGCCATAACTTGAAATGCTATTTTCGTGATAATTTAAATATATATTTATCTGTAGTTGACTTTCTTTACTTTCTCTATCAATTTAGTAAGATTTCTCAATTGTTTTTGTCTTTTCCCACGGAGGGTGGTTTATAAAACAGAACAGTTCTTAGAGTGAGTTGCATTGATTAAAATTGGTATAGCTCTTGCATCGATTGTTACCGCTGATTATTCTGTTGGATTGGGTGGGTAGTGCTTCTGGCATCTGCCAGTTCAGTAGAAGTTTGCGTGCATTCTTCTTGTACTACGGATTATAGTTTGTATCTGCTGCTGCCAATAGACCTGAAGGTGTTGCTGCTGATGCATCTGCATGTAGCTGTACCCGCCGGAGGCACCCAGTCAGGTTCAGTAAACCTGACTTCGGACCGGATTCTAGATGTTCGACTTGGAGAAGCTTACACGCAGGTGATTCGACTCGGACAGCTGGTGGTTGTGCATCTTAATCAGTGCCAGAACAGCCTCCTCCACGGACGACAGTTGCAGCAGTGCCATTTTTCGGTCTTTCCTGTGTGATAAGGATACGGTTTTAGTGGTGATTCCGTTAAAGAGTTTTAACAGCTCATATGCTGTTTCCTACTTACGGGAAAAATTTGAATGCCTTAACTTCGAAGCTGCTTGAGGTGAAAGCTTCTTTAATGTCTTCCTCAGAGCAGGATGACCTGTAGGGAGAAGAGAAGATGTTGGTTATCTTTAAAGTATGGTCCCACATTTAAGGGTACGTGGGTATGTGGCAGCGCCTGCTGTGAGGCTGGCTCATTGATACCGCCCGGCAGGCGCTTCAAAGGGCCTTTGTCTGTGGTGCGATTGGCTCGATTCATAAACTCGCCCAGCGGAGGGTAGGCACCGTCCTCTAGTTGGCATGCGAGTCCCAGCCAGCAGGGTGCTATGTCAAATTCGGGAGAATAGAATAGGGTGCTACGCGGGGTTCCTACTGCTCATAGCTATAATTGTAATTGCCATGTCGTGCCGAATCAAGCCACCTCCCAGCATCCATACCGAACCGGTACCCAACCACTCCTACTGACCACCCCATCTGATTCCCCCAGGCCCTGTGGAATACTTACGGAATGTTGCTTAAATGCAGTGTCGCCGACGGCGGATAGATGTTCTGGTAGTTCTTGCTGCCCGGCTTCTTGAAGCGGTGCAACGGATTTTGCGAGTAGTCACGTGTGAGTCCTGCGTCCGGCTGACCCTCCTTGGGCAGCTGGACGGCCTGGTGTTTGCTGGCCATCACACGTATCGGCTTTCCCCATAAACGTAATTTATCAAGGTGAGACATGGCTGTGGAGCAGAAAGTAACACGTTAAAATGGGCACACCAGGGAAAAGTTTTCCGCTTGTTAGGTGAGTCTGTGTTTGGAAAATGTGTCTGTGTGTCAATAATGTATCTGTAGCAATGCAATTTATTTGTTGTGCCACAAGCCATAAAAGTGCTTCTGAACCCCAAACCCCAGAAAGCAGCATTGCTAGAAAAATTCCCAATAATCCACACAATATGTTTAGAGAATAATACCGAGGAGAATGGGCACGGAAATACAACAGTTGTAGGTATCACCTTTTCTGACTGCTTTCCCCAAGTACAGGCCTTCTTTTACATTGCCGAATGGCTTCGGTGCTTCCCTCAGTGTAGCCAAAGATCCCGCCCACCAGCCGTCGAACAAAGTCAGCAATAAGTGCAGGCAAATATTTACATACTCAGATGTAACTGCAACTTTATCAATGTCGTCTGCCTCTGGTGATTTATACGAGCTGAAATGCTTGTTTGGCCGTAAAAGTATTGCCAAACAAAAGTTTGCCATCTCCAGGCTCTTCGCTGGCGCCCTTCCAACGGACTGTGCCTTATTTCTCATATTCTCAGAAGCCGTAACACCTGCGGCTCCGATGGAATGCATGTGCAACGCAGCGCTGTACTCAAACACGATGCAATTTCCCCTTCCATTTCCATTTCCATTTCGATTCCAGCTTCGATTACGTTTTATTTAATTTGAGTTCCTGCCAAGTCATCCGACAGCTTAGGCCAGGCCAGTGTCCAGAAATCGTTGTAACATTTTTTAACTCTCATGCTCTACATTAATAAATTACATCACATTTTATCACTGCTCCTCTGTTTTATGGTAACGCAATATGCTTACTCAGCCGTTTATTGTTTGCCTAATGGATTAAGTGATTTTCAAAAACGAAGACGCAGGAATATAATAAATTGCCAAATAAAAGGAGCGCCAGCAGTGACAACTCGTATGGCCTAAGCATCCTTTTTCCTGCGCCCGGCCTTGTGTATGACTAACACTTGTAATAAAGATTAATGTGCAGGCGAGTCACATTTCGAAAAGGGCCAGGAGCAGGAGCAGGAGCAGGAGCGGGAGCAGGAGTGGGTTCCAACTTTGCCTACAGCTGCAGCTGCTCCTGGGCCCGGCTCAAAAAGTATCTTAAACTTTTAATTACAAAGCTGAGGCTGCTGACCAACATCAGCGGCACGAACAAATCATTATTAACTAACAAAAGAAAGTAGAGTGAACTGGAATGGGCAAGCCGAAAAGTAAGTGAAATGACTCGGCGATGAGACTTTGAGGGTCCGCCCTGTTTTATGCATGAAGTTCTGGGTTTAAGACTTTTAAGCATCATACACTTGGGACCGACCGCACTCAGAAAATGTTACTCTACGAGGCGCACAGGATGGGGAAAATGTGGCTCAGGTGAGCCCGCATCCGGAACCAGGGATGAGTTTACTACCCCCCCTGACAAACTCCAAGTTAGTTGCAACTTTCATGATTTGAACGATTAATGTCCAGCAATTCCTTGACTATGATCTACGGCCGCTCTGGCCAGGCGCTTTATTATCTCTGGCTCGTAAACTATGCAAAACATCCTCTGTCCGGCGTCTTCTGTCTTCCCTGCTCCGTAATTAATAGTGGCCCACTGAGGGCCGGGCGCCAAGTCATTCAAATAGTCACTTAGCATTGTCAACCCAAGTCCGAGCAAACTTTTGCCGCACTCGACTTCCAGTTGGCTAGCACACGCACACGTGGCGTATGCGTAATCGACCTTACTACAAATGGCAATGAAATGCGACCGACACATGTGAAAGACTGTGCTTGTTGTTTGTTTTTATTGCAAATGCCTTTATGCGCACGCTTATGCAAAATATTTTGCAGTAATTTGTACGGCAAACAGGAAATTTATTTGCTAACACGAGGGGAAAGCCCACAGCTGACAGCTGGGAGTGGGCCAATAAATTGTATACATGTTGGCAATACGCAGCGCAAAACTTAATCCCGCCCGGCAAAATGGTCCATTACAACATCCTTGGCACCCACACACCTCAACTGTCCACCAAATGGACGCAGTGGGTGGCGGAAGGCTTATTGCTTTTCATTTCGTGTCTTTGTCTATTTTCTGGCTCCTTGCCTCCGAGCATTCAGATTGCTGTCGCATTTAGTTCAGCGGATGGGTGATTCTCATAGGGTCCGTCCTCCTCTTTGCCGATTTCCGTTGACTTCTGCAAAACTTTTTGCGCCTTTACGCTGTAATTCGTATGCTGAGTGTGCAATTGTAGCCGTATTTTGTGTGTGGCCCTCGCCATAACGCACACCACCTTACGAGACACTTTCGTATGCATGGGGTGTGTGGGTTGACCCCGGGCAGCTGCTGCTCCTGCTCCTGCTCCTCCTGCTCCTGCTGCTCCTGCTCCACGTTCGGTAATCGTCTTTGTTTGTTGGCGAGAGTTTTGGGCAAAGTAACGAATGAATTTGTTAATATTTTATGAGTGCATAAGTGCGCACTCCCGCCCGAACCCGGCTTCCATTTCGGGCTGGTTCTTGTGTCCAGGTAGCTGCTTACACTGTGAAAAAAGTTGGCAACTAGCATCCTTTGTAAAGTTTCGTTTCCGAATTGCGTCAGAAGTGTTATGTGAAATCGTGTTCTCCGAGACCATTGCCCACTACGATATTCCTTTGATACAAAGTGCATTTTTCAGTTTTTAATAGTGTAGATGAATGGGCTAAAACAAAGGTAAGAGCCAGCAGCGTGAGCATTGCCATTTGGCAGCCCATGCGGCACATTAGTAGTCTATATGCCGTAGTATTCCCATTAATGTTTTCATATGCCCTGGGGCAGTTGGTTCGCCATTGTGTGCTTGACTGGGGGAGTGAAATGGAGTGGTGTGTGGAGCGCAAAGGGATGTTGACTTTCTAGTTGGGCACAATAATTTGCTTGTTTGGTCAAACAGTTGACTGGTCTCGGTTTCGCCGCTCCATTTGCGTAAAGTCGGCACAATAGTTTTATCAATTGCAGCCGGCGGCGGAATTGTGTGGTCCTCGAATTGCTGTCAATTTTCGGACGAATTCAATTAACACGGCATTACGTATACGCCACCGAAACGAGTTCGGACAGCTGCGGACAGCACTGCGTGCATATGCGCACAAAGGAAAATTACCCCTGATTATGCCATGCATTTTCAGGAGTTGCCGTTGATTAGCTCTACCGTGCCCCATCCGTGCGCTTAACCCAATTAATTAGGATGGAGCATCTCAAAGCAGGAATGCCATCGAGCTGCGCGCCAAAGAATGCCAGTTCTTATGCTTACATAATTATAATTAAAAATTAATTGAGTACAGGTCAAAGCATATTTAACCGAAGAGGTGATAAGGTTGCGAAAATAGTTCGCGGTGGAGCGGCGGCTGTGCGGGTGCAGCTGCGGATATTTGGTCTGCGGGTTCGCGGATACCCTGGGGAGATTGTGTGTTTGTGCACCTGTGTGTGTGCTGGGCTGGCAAGCACTTATTTTCTTTTTATTTAAATCAATAAACAGTTGATGGCATTTATTATGCAGTAGCTTACGCTTTTTCAGGCGCGCAATTTGCTGGCAATTTCCGCAGCGATCGCACTTTGCATTTATTGAACAGATTAAATTTATTTAAACGTTATTAACAGCAGCAGCAGTCGCTGCTTGTGCCAACGACATGGAATCGTGACGGAAAATATAATTGATAAATTACATGTTCGAGCGATTAAAGCCCTGATGACATGCAACCTGGTTTTCATTTTCACGTAAGTAGCTAATAAAATATGCTTCTTATGCAGAAAGTGCGTGCGAGTGGCCTTGCAACCTTAATAACCTTAATAAAGAGATGGCAAGCAAAGCTGATCTTGCAATAGCAAGCACATGAAGTTCAATCTGAGCCCACTCACAAGGGCTTTAGAGCGAGGCTAAAGAAGCTGATAAATTTGCATATACTCGCAGGATGCGGTAGACTGCATTTTGCTAAAAGCTCAAAGGAAAGGACTTCGCGCCGTTGTTGTTTTCAATTAAGCGCCTCCCTACAGGGCCGCAGCACTTTGACAGCTTTTGAGTTATTTTTCCAATGAATAAATAACTCAAATGAAAGGCGGCGGCGGACGCACCGCTGAGTGGGAACAATGAATGCTAACTGGAGGAGCAGGGCGGTGGACGTGGAGCGGATAGTTGGCGTGTTAAATGGAATAAAACCAAATCGAAATTGAAAAAGGTGTCGCTGTCAGCGCTGTCAACGCTTCGATCGCCTTGCCACTGCCGCCGCTCCTGCTTCCTGTTTTTGTAATAAAGTGGAATTTGGCACGTCGGTTGGTCGCTCTTAACGCGTCGCAATGCGCGACAATTTTCATTTCGTTTAATGCGTGCAGGGGGTCGGATTGGATGGGATTGGATTGGGAGCCGAGGGGGGCGTCCTTGGCCAGCGGCATGGCGGGCAGCCTGACAATGGCAAAGTGCACACAAATAAATGCAATAAAATGATTGGCATGTCCCGCCGCGCAGGGGAGCAGGAGCAGGAGCAGGAGGAGGAGGAGGAGCAGGAGCAGGAGGAGCCTTTGTTGCCTGGACGGCGGGGAAGGAGTGGGTCTTGACCAGGTGTTGCTGCTGCCCAGGCGGGCTGGTAATAAAGCGCTTATAAAATTCCATTTATGCGAGCCATCCCTCGCTTTTGGCCCTCTTGCCGTCTCTTTCGCTTTAACAATTTTTATTATTAATACATTTTGTTTGCTGCATTTGCAGCTGCACAACCAACACCAACACCAACACCAACAGCATCACCAACAGCAGCAATGGTTACGGTTGCCAAAGGAATGCGCCGTTTGGAATTTCATGTTGCCGGAATTTTCATTTTAAACAAGCTGCAAATTGCAGTTGCTCTTTTTCCGCCCCGGCCCCCAGCTTACGGATGGATCGAGACTCAGATTTTTCATTACTCCCGTTTCGTTGTGTTGCCGTGTGGCATGCAGTAGTTGGTGGGTATATTCGTGGGTTAGTGAGGTGCAGTGCGTCTGCTTGACTTACCCAAATAAGCTTGCTGGGGCTCCGCCATTTGTATGAGTGCCGAGTCCTTCTTGTTGTACAGAATCTTTACACGTTGCACATCGCCGTATACACCTGCGGATGGGAGCAGTTGGGGATTATGAGTAAGTGTTCGGAGAATACTGGGTACATGACCGTCGGCCAGTAGAGTAATTCGAGTGCCGCCGCACGAATGCTGAGCGGGCCAACAGAAACTAAAGCACTTTGTAGCTGCTGCTCCGGGAAACTTTCTCTTGTGTAAAATGGTAAAATGTACACTTGAAAAACGCAACAATTCTACATTCTACAGATCCTAGAACTTGCAGTTGAGCAATTAGCTCGGTGCTTCTAGAAGTACATTGGGTTTTGGAAACCTTATTTGCCTTCAGCATTCAGAAGCGTCCAAAGACTGCTCCCTGCATTTTTGGACAGCTCCAAGCGGCTTATGGCGCCCGCGGAAAAGTTTTACACCCCACCAAAAAGCCATAACATGTACGCCAGATATCTTGGGCACTATCATTTAGGTATTTTCCACCTTGCTTTCCTTGCCTACGACCCAAGCACTCGCATTATTGCCGCGGGCCACGCCGTTAGTATCATGTACGAAACTCATAACTGGCTCAATAAGTTTTCCGTGCTATTTTTTACGAGCTTCAATTCGAACTGCGTCTGCTGGCTGCAGCTCGTTCGTTGGCCCAGCTGGCTTGGCTTCCTTGCCGCATTTCGTTTTAAGGCCACGGATTTTACAGCCGTCAGACAGGTGAGCTGGTGAGCTGGTGAGCTGGTGTGCAACAATTCGGCGGCACCGGTCGCGTTATTGAATTGTATTTTATGGCTTTACTTACGCCACAAACTATGCAATATAAGGTGGGCTGAGCTGAGAGCTAGCTGTAGAACTGCATTAAGACTGGAAGCTGACTTTAAGGAAGCTGCTCTGGCGGTGTCTTTGCTTTGACAGCTGGCCAAGAGTCGGTCTATTGGGTGACCCTTCCCTTCCCGGGCTTCATCCCATGTGCAGCCAATCAGCGCAAATTCGAAGCGGGGCGCAAATTGCCATCAAGCATAAAAAATAGTTGCCGGTCGACTTGGTGGCCAAAGGGCAATGGCTATGGCAATGGCAATGCCAATGGCAATGGCAAAACCGACCCCAAAGCAAACAATGTAAAGTGCAGCCCTGCCCAAGACAACAAATCGAATAATGCGGAAAGTAAATTTTCAACTTCTTCCAGCCACACACACCTGCACAGAAGGGGCATTACACTTCGACCAATTTTAGTACAGTACTCAATGTCTTGTATGTCCTTCTCCTATACATTCATCAAAACCACATTTTCATTTAAGGCTAGTGCTAGGAAGCATTCCATGTAATGCAAGACTTGCTTGTTTAAGTAACTTCTTTCCCAATTTAAATATCTGAAAATGGAAAAGTTAAGGAACCTGATGGATTTTCTCCAAGTGCCAGAACTTGGGAAGCCATGCCGGCTATATAAGTGGGGCCATGCCAGCTACTCGAAGCGTAGCCAAGCGAGCGCTGCGCTAACAAGTTACAAAACTAGCAATGGAAATGCAGGTAGTAAATAGTGGGGCACAGGGAGGGTTCGCAGGACAGAGAACACAGTTCAACAGTTGGCAGTAAATCCATTTTATACAGACGACTGGCTGCCTGACTGACTGACTGCCTTAGTTCCCAGTTATCCCAGTTAGGCGGACTTGACTTATGCCAAACACCGAGCAATATCGTTTCGTTTTTCCGGGAATCCGGGGTAACAATTGCAGGCGAGGCCAGAGCAGCAGCAGCAGACGTCGCCAGCAACATCCACATCTGCAGGTTTGGCAGTGGAGCATATTGAATGCCAGGCATGCGGCTCCTCTCCAGTCGCCAGCATAACTCGGCGTGCAACGGGGCGTATGAGCAACAGCTGCCGTTTGCCGTGCAAAGTGTGCCCGGTAGCCACAATCTTTATTCGTATTCGTATTCGTACTCGCATTCGCATTCGTATTCGTATTCCCAGCCGCGTCCAGCAGACAGACTTGATAATAATTTATTATCGTCTGAATGTTTCTCCAAAAGTTTCGTTTTTTTGGTTTCGCGACACTAACGTATGCAGACAGCGAAGCCGATTCCCCGGCGGCCCATTAGTCGCGTGTTTGAGCATATTCTAGATGAAGAATTATGCGGATGCCGGTGGCATGTTGGCCTGGGTCTATAAAGTTGAAACGGCCCGCCCTCGAATTTCCCTTCCTTTACATCTCAATTATGCCGGTGTCAAAAGCTAAACGGAAATTCGAATTCAAATCGATAGCTTCCATTTAATCACATTGCCCCGAACGCCTGTCATTCTGCGTTTAGCTGCTAAAGCGATTTGTTGCGATTCATTGAAATTATTTGCACATCGGATTTAATTTTTCCTGTTTCGGGCACTTTATCAAATTGCATTTCTGCCACAACATGTAGCGCATAAAATTTTATGAAATTATTTCGCGCATTGGTAGGAATATCACGCAATACGCTGGATCGCTAAACGCATAAAAAATCAATTAAACACGTTTCGACAATATTTTCGGCAATGATATAAATTTTTATCGCGCTATTACAATTACATAAGCGGATTACACGGCATATGTGCGAGTGTCGGGCTGTCGGGCTGTCGGCCTTCTTTCCCAGACGATTTGCAGACTGATTAAGTTCCTTTTATTGTTATGCAAAGGCAACTAAGTTGCCTCCCCAGCCCCCAAAAGTGGGCAATCGAATGATATGGGCTGCTGGCTTGTCGGTCCAGCCGGCTGGTTTCCGTTCGAGCACAGGACTGGGGCACAGGACGAAATTGAATGCTTGACAGCCTAAGCGGAATGTGTCAAGTGTCTAAAGAGCATGCCCCAGAGAGCCTCTGGGACCTTTCAATTGGGTCTTCGCCTAGTCGCAGGCAGGGCTAACAAAGCGCTGTCAAAACTAATAAAATGTCCAACTGGCTGACACCTAAAAGGGTTCTGGCCAACTTTTCCGGTCCTTTGGCCTTTTTGCTACGCCGCTTGTTGCTGTTTTCGGCTAGATTAATCCCCGCGCTTAAAGTGCGTTCTTCGTTCCCGCTTTTATTATTTGGCATGCAAACAGCTTCAGCTTCAGCTTCAGCTTCAGGTGAACGCAAGCTGCGAACCGCATACCCATCCTGCCCTCGGCCCCGCCTCCTTCCTAACCTTTTGAAGTGCCAAATTCACCAGCCAAAAGTGGCCCGCAGCGTCTTTGCCCTCCTCATGTGGAAATCGCTGCTACGTGTCCTTGGGTGTTGCTATTAACATAACAAAAGCAAACGTTTGCCATTTGCCGGTTGACGCTTCCTACTCGCTTGCCAGTCTACTACACTGATCAAAAAGCGGGTGATCGTGGCTGCTGGATTTGTGCAATATCCGAAGCAATAAGACATACATACTGTGACTGTGAAATAATTTGATTTTTTATAAATTTGATAAACAGGTTTAAAGAAACCCAATATTACGCGAGGTTGTTTTTTGTGCACTTGTTTGAGGAGCACCTCCTAGGAGCTCTTTTAAGTGTCATTGGTGGTGCTCCTGTCTGTCGGCTGTCTGCTTAGAGCTACTTGGAAATTCAAAGGTTATTACATAAAATTTTAGCCTGCCATTCGGTTGATTGCCCGTCGAGACTCCGGCCGTCAATTACACGCTGGCTGCTTGCTCGGCTCCTCGGGAAGCCGTCGAGTTTATCTACATCTATTGGCACCCCAATAATAATACGCTTAACGTTCGACTTATCGACATCTCTCCATCTCGGCTGTGCAACAGGGCGTATTGGTATCCAACTTTTCCACTTCGCTCTAAGCTGAGCCCTTCGAAGCGTTTAATCAGCAATCTAAGCTTTATTAGCAGTGCAGGCAACTGCCAAGTGGCAACTGGCAACTGGCAACTGGCGCAGGAGTAGAGGGCTGGAAAGGAGGAGGAGGAGCAGCAAGTGTAGCTCCAGATGCAGCAGGAGTCTGCTAAGCGGTCTGCTGATCGGATTTTCCCGGCTCAGTGGCCCAAAGTTGCCCTGTGGTGCTCTGCGGTGCTCTGTGGTTTGCGCTGCACAAATCCGGCAACAAGAACACGGCACGACAGCACAGAAACAATTTTTAAGCAATTAATACGTTTGGAAACATTTCTGTTTACTTTGAGCGATAAGCCCCGAACTGCTGACAGAATGGATGCAATTTGTAAATATAAATCAAAGGCACAGCACACAAGGGTGAAGTTCCGGGCAAGCAAGCGGCTTAACTCATTGTTGCCGGCCATTCTCCATGTGGTTGCGTTTGTTTGGCAGAAGTTTATATTTGGGTATTTAAACTCAAATTAAATGCATTTGCATGCAAACAAATGGAAGCCTGTGTGTGTGGCCGCAAACAAACGTTTTGTGTCACCAGAGACAAAGGGTAGAAACCCAGGCTCTGGTTGTTGAACACACATACCATGCCAGCACATTGGGGCAAAAAAATCACCAGAGATTGGGAAATCTGCGTTGGGAAAGCGGAGGAGAAGGGAGCCGTGTTGTTGCCGTGTTGTGGCAACAAAATCCATTATGCTGCAATTATGCGCCACACTTGGCAGAATGCTTGCAGCACCGGACAAAAACTTGCTCAATCGATGTGTTTTGGTAATTAAATCAAGTACATAATGGGGCAAGCCAGATGGAGAAATGCAGCGCAAGTGAAAAGTCAACTGGGAATCCCATAAAATAATAAAACACACACACGGAGCTGGGGAAGTCGGGAGAGCAATTCAAACAGCAAACCCCATTAACTTTACAAAGTTAGTTAAATTCATTTGGCAAACAGACGACAGACGACGAAAATCCAGCAAGGAGACTGGAGACAATCCCCTTTTCCATTCGAGAAGCCAACCAACCGACTGGCTAACCGAACCAACGAGCTACAAAAAGTCACAAGTAAATTTTATTTCAATTGTAAGAGCCAGCAAAAACTGCACAATGATCATGGCTGTGTGTAGTACAAAAAGTATATATAAATACTGGGAAAGCGTTAGGTAAAAACCACACACACGCACAGTGGAAAAATAGCCAATTCTCAGTCCGATGGCGCTTCTAGCACATCCATTTAAATACCATGCTGAATGGCTTTTACATATTTTAAATTGAATCTGCCTAAAATTAGTTTGGAGCATTTTAGTCCAGTTTTAATGTGTATTGATAGCCCCTTTTCGGGGGTGTCTAATCTATAATTATAAAAAGCTGAGCTTCCAATGTTCCTGGGACAAGCCTCGTTTTTCTCCGTGTGCATACAACCCAAGGAAAGGCAAAAAGCAAAAGCAGCAATGGGCGACAGCAACAAGCGCAATGATAACTAAATAAATGGACATTTTTATAGCTATGCACTTCCGCACTCAAACTTTTGTGCTGCGTGTGTGTTGGTGGGTGCTGGAGTTCATGTGTGCTTGTCTGTGTGTGCGGAAGGATGAGCACATGTTAAAGCATGTGTTTTGTGCATGCATTTCAGTTCTCAGCTCGGAGGACCCTCTGACCCCGGGTCCCGTGCCCAACAATGGAAGCCAACAACGAGCACACTTAATTCATGTAATTTCACACACACACACACACACACACACACACACGGACGCTCCAACGCACCAACGCACACGAAGACAACGGAGGAGCAACAGGATGCACACGTAGTGGTGTTGCCAATGCACCACCGCTGCCGCCTGAGTGCGGTTTCACTTGTTGCCAGTTGCTGCTCTGTTTTTAATATATGTACGTGGGGCTTGCAGGACGTCGAGTGTATTCTCATTTTCATTGTTTTACAATTTGTAAGCAGAACTTATGACAGGATAAATGGCAGAAGGCAGAAGGACAAGACTGGATACCAAAGGAACATTTTCCACTCCTGCTTCAAGCTTCCTGATGGATTTGTCCCCGCTGCTCGGGGCAAAAAGCTATTAGAAAGCCATTTGTTGCCGGCTTTAGTAGGTTTATTCCATTTCGCAATACAATAAATACTGCCACTGCCACATGGAAAACCATTTCTCCATCTAAATGGGTTTTATAGCGTGATCGGGCTGCTCTGAATTTATTTGCACTTCTTGCAGGGCATGTCCTTTGCCCATCCCGGGAATAATATCGGATTGATCTAGCAATGGAGTGTTCCAGGAGCTTGCGTGATTCAGTTCATAATTCTGCTCCATCTCCCGCGTGGCGAATGCATTTCATGTGCAAACTGCCAGATGCGCGTTGCATACCCAAAGCACCGAATTTCAACCGCCGAGCCTTTGGAAGGCTTTTCCCACATTTTAAACAGGTAGTGCCGCATTTTTGTCAGCTATTGCTTTGTTAACCCACCGCACCCCCTCCTCATCCCATACCGTGGTGTAAATAATACATGGCACTTTTGCTGATTGCACGTAAATGGCGTAAATGCCAAGCGGAAGCAAGCATAAAAGAGAACACAGAGAGCAGCTACATAAGTAAAGGATAAAGCGTTGGCTTGGCTCGATTCGTACAGTGTAAATTCAATGAATAATCAAGTGAACTACTTATAAATTGTTTAGGGAGTGTAAATTTATGTGGGACACGTTGTAGCCGGGCAAAGCTAGACAGACAATAGGCACTCGCTTATTTCAGGGAAGAGATCGAAAGAGAGTCAGATTGAGAAGAGACAGAGGTCGACAGCAAAGGAAGAGAGTTCACAAGAGTGCAGTACTGCCTCTCTCCCACTAAGAGGCATCCTCTAGCTTCGCCCGGACAACAAACAAATAAAGTTGAAAGAGCTGGCAATTAATAGAGTAATCGTTTGTGCAGACGTACCAAAAAGGGTAAAGAGAGCATCAGGCGTGACCATCTACAGAGAAAAAGAGAATAGAGTTTGTCGTCAGTTAGCGAGAGTTTCGTTTCAGATGAATTACAACAAATAATAAAAGGAACAAAGTATACGTTACATAGGAAACACAAATTAAATAATAGAGCTGATGGTTCTGTAGATTATGTTTCAGTTTCAGGCTGGGACACAGAGAAAGAGATAGACAGGTGGGGGAAGGGAGAGGGAAAGGGGGATCTTCTCAGGTCCCAGGCTTGTCAACATTTACTTTACAATGTATTAAGTATCTTATACGGGTAGAATGCGTAATTGTAAAAATATGAGTACATTTCCGTGGGAGGTGAAAAGTGAAAGCGTCTCTTACTATTGGTTTAGTAAATTGGGAGCTTATGTGGAGCAATGGGCGCATACTAAATGAAACTAATTCTTTTTTACATGAAACGTGAATGATCTTATTCCTTGCCGCTCCAATCACTCCCCAATATACCACATATACCACATTATTGCGATGGCGCGGACAGAGTTCGGACTCGGGTTGCTTATCCCAACAAACTGAGTATCCAACCAGGACTTGTAACTTCGCTTCCCTCCACAGGCTCGCACTTACCTCCTCATTTAAATTCGAGACGAGCAGGACATTCGAGTAACCTCGCATTGCAGGAGCGGCCGTCTGCAGGGCGCCGCTGTTGGCCAGCGAGAAGGCGGCTAGATTGGGCAGGGCGTTGCTGTAGCCGCCGGTCAGTGGAGTGCCCAGGCCCAAGGCGAAGGGCGGCAGGACTCCAGGGGCGCCCAGGCCGTTGACTGAAAGAGAATCGAACAGGAGTTAGCAATCGACCAAGGCTGGCAGTTTGAGACTAGTTGCATGCCACTTAAGCTTTGTGTGAATCGATAGCAGGTGTAAAGGCAAAACGCAATGAGAGACGAGGCTTATCAAAAATGATTATTTTCAGTAATGTCGAAAAGAAATTTGATTAGGCCAAGCCTCTTTCAATTCAATTTGGATTTTTAGATATTTAAGAGGTGGAAATAACTTGGCCAAAAATGCACGTTGTAATCAAATTACTGGGATAAAAACACACAGAATAGCCGTATCACTTTAAATGGCAAAAAAGGCTCAAATGAAATATTGTTTCGGAAAATCTCTCGTGAAAATCAAAAAATGTCCGGCGGACAAGTTAGGCGATTGAGTGGTCAGCAACTTGAAGCTAAGAGAAAACAAAGGAAAAACTGGGAAAATGTTCCGTTCGTGTTACCTATTTTATCACCTGTGAGAGAAGGTCGCTGCCGGGCGGCGATCAGAAGCAGATCATTGGTGTTCATCAGTCCGCCGGCGGTGGGCATGAGATCCACCCCCGGCTCACCAGGGGGCAGCGCGGGGTTCGTGAAGTCGCGCGACTTGTCGTTGTTGTACTTAACATTCAGCGCCGTCAGCTTGCTGTTATCAATGCGCAGCGTGCAGCAGCCGTTGTATATGTTCTGCCCGTCCAGGAGCGACTTGGCGTGCTGGGCGGAGTTGGCGTCCGGGTATTGGATGAGGGCCTAGGGCGGAAAGGTTTGTTAGCCATCAAGTGTGTGGTTTTGAGGATGAACAGAGGACGGACCCCTCGACTCACCTGGAATGAATTGTTCTTTGTGAAGGTGACAATCTTCAGCACCTTGCCGTAGCGCTGGAAGATCTGGTGCAGAATGTCCAGCGAGACGGGGTACATCAAGGACTCGACAATCACACGGAGCACGGTATTAGGTCCCCCGGCGGAGTTCGTGTTGTTGCCGGCCGCACTTACGGCGCTTGTGTTGTTCTGCAAGATTCCCACGGCGCTGCTGTTGCTGTCGCCGGAGCTGTTGGCATTGTTGCTGGACGCGTTGGCGGCGGCGCAGAGGGGCAGAGGCGATCCGCCCGCCGGGGACTGGATGCGGTAGTCGCTCGGGACGATCGAGTTCTGGAAACAGGGAGCGGAGGGAACATGGTAAAGTTGTTGAGTCAATTTACAGGCGGGAATCGCGAAGGAAACTTTTACTAGTTAAAGGCGAAAACTTTTGCCCATTAATCAAAGCAACTGGCAGTGCACAAAATTTATGCATTTTGCCAAGTTTTTTAGGGCTAGAGCACCGTGCACTTGACGGAATAATGTGTGGATTCATAAATAAATCTTAAACTTACTATTTTAGATAGATTAGGTGTAGGATACATTTTTTCCATTGAAAAGTCATTATTACTCTCACATTAAACCTTTCATAACAAGCAAAAGACATACGTATTTTTTGTAGTGCACAATATGCTAAACGTTTGCACGGCAGCGACATCCCCAGCTCCTCAGAAATCATCCTCGCCAACATAAATCTCAATCAAAATCAATAATATCAAGTATCGTAATAATAAAAGAAACCCGGGAGATGGAGGGCGGAGGCGTCTGTCGGTGACGAGGATGCTGGGCGGATGCCAAAAACGGTTCATGGCAGGCAACAAAACTTCTTGCGTGAAATATACACGTTCTATCGGAAAACAATTTAATGACATTCGGAAGTGAATTTATTCCTATTCGTGCTGAATTTTGATTTCGAAAATCATAACGTAAACACATTCGACCGCCCACCGCCCACCAATCCACCTGCCACCGACTTCCTCTTATCCTGTCCATTTGCGACGCGTTTTTGTGCGTTTGCCAGCAACAGGAAGACAAGGGGAATCGAATGGAAGGAATTCACGGCAGTCCTCATAGCCCAGGCGTGCTATTTGTTTCTGCCTTCGCCTAGATAAATTTCCACCCATTGGAAACAAAAGCCCGGCGACGTGAGCTTCGCCTTAGACCCTCTCCTCGAAGCCAAAGTTTGTAAAAATAATAAAAATTGATTAGAATTGCCGAGTGCCGAGTGCCGAGCTGCGTGGCTAGACGGAACGTATGTGGGCTGTGGGGTGTTCCTAGTGGCATGAGTGCCCATGATGATGCGGCGGCTTCATCTTCGATTGCCATGCTGGCTTTAGATGCCTGAGGGATGCCATCAGTGGCTGTTGCTGGGTTTCCTTTCCTTTCCTGCTTTCCTTTCCGCTGCCAGTAATTTGATACTCCACTTTGCCTGATTATTATGATGACGATGACGTTGATTGTGTAAAAATTGTAATGTAATTGTTGGGAAGCGTTTGCCCATCTATTACTCATCTCAGTAGGGCTTGTATAAACAGCAAAGTCGATTAGCAGTAACTATCTGCCAAGTGGCAATCGGCAGGCGTTTATGCACTTTGATTATTGAGCACGAGTTTTCACCAAGAGCTACTAACTTCTAAGAGGGTAATTGTGTTTTTCGCCGAGTGTATTCAGGATCTTCAATAACAGGCATTTAACATGCGGCAGCTCCAAGCCAAACCAAATTTTGGGAGCACTTGCACGCATATTAGGCTAAGCCATTCCAATTATCCTGCAGGACATAGGGCAAGGGGAAAGTTTAGGCACCACAAGCAGCAACATCATTAAACATAACAAATCGTCATGTGTGTGCGGCTGTGTTTGTATTGGACTTTGCTTGTCGCGGTTTTGCCTGTTAATGAGTCAATTGTGCGTACCCCTTTCCAAGCTGTTGTTGTGGGCTGATTAGATATGCAAGCACCCACTCCGCCCATCACAGGAAACCACTCACCACATTGTTATAATTTAATATCGATGGGCGGGCTGCTTCTTTGCTCCCCTCCTGCATAACGCCACATTCGATAAGCCAAAACGCTTTGATAAGCGAAATGTGTCGACTACTTGCTGATAAGCACATTTATCGATCGATTCCTGTCAGTGGGAAAATCTGGACAAAAGACACACGTGTCCCCGCTCCTCGCCATTTAACGCTTGCGACTGGGAAACCGTAATGGGGAAACTTTAACCCAGACTTCTCATCGGAGCTTATGGACATTTGTGGTTTCTTGCGAACTGTAGTGCGTTAAGACAAGGCTCCACATGGCACAAGCAAAAACTGTTCGGAAAATCTGATACTTTGCAGCTCGCTAAAAGAGTTCTTAGCAAACTTTTGCAATATTCAACTAGCTGAAAAGAACTTGGCAATTGTTTTATGATTTTGATGCGGTTTTTGCATAAGAAATAAACCCGGAAAAAGGCTCACAAAAGGCAAAAGCTCTGGGCACAAACCGCAGCTCTGAAGGCGCCAAAAAATATTGACGTTGCTTTCACTTAAGGTTTTGCATAAATATTTTTGTTTCATAGCGCTTTCGTGCGCTTCTCCCTCTTTCCTGCGGCTGCAAGTTTATTTTCATTGCAATGTCACACTGAGTACCTCTGCTGCTTCTCCCTGCTGGCACCCTCACCCATTACGCACCCTTCTCCCTGACAGGCACACTTTAAACTGCATGGCAGCTCCTTCGAGCAGGAGGAGGACTCAGGAGTCAGGAGCCGTATTCCCCCTTTGAAGAGCCGGCTGAAGCGGGAGCTTAAGTGTTCGGGCCAAGTTAGAAAGTAAAGCAGTTACAGATGCTTGGCCACAATCTCCTCCGCACCTCCGCACCTCCGTGCCTCCGTGCCTCCCTACCGCCGATCCCCTTTCGACTGGTCAAAAGGAGCTGCCGTTTCGGCGCTTTTGAGCTGGAGTGGGGAAACTTTTTTCGGCAACTGCAACTACGACTACAAGTTATGAACTTGTGAAGGTAAGTTTTAAGGCTGAGCTCGGGATTATGTATTACTTTGCTGCGAGTCGTTTATCTGCTGGGTGGTTTTTACGGTCAAGCCAAAGGGAAGAAGTTGCCCAGAGTCTGGCAACGAGCGGAGCAGCGGTATCACTGCCACCATACCATATTTGTCTTTTTATGCAAAGGGCAAACAAAAATAGCAACCGCGGCAAGTGTGTTAAAAGCCTTCGAGGAAAACACTGCGCAAATGGGACTATAAAACCGAACGGCTTAAATAAATACCAACTACGCAAAGTAGCAAAATCCGCTGCCCAAAAAGCCCAAGTAAATACGCCTGCAAAAACAAAGTAGGGAGAAGGGGATCCAGATCCACTTACGGGCAGTCGTGAAGTAAAACTAATCAATACAATGATAATATTGACAGAGCCGCTGGAAAAGTCAGTGCATACGTAAGTTGTCATTTGTCGACAGTCAGTTTTTTGGGTTCTCCGGGTTGTCGACAGTTCCGCAGTTGTTATCCTGCCGCTCTCGGTCCCAAACTCCTCTCGGATCGCATGTACCCCGAAACAATGTAATTTAAATCCATCTTCAACACGTCGCCAATCAAAATGGCAAAAAGCTTTAGCATTGCACAAGTATAAGCAAACATTCGCATCCGCATAACTCAAAGGATCAGGAGCAGGAGGCACAGCCACAATCGCGATGGTCTTGCTCTTCAGCGCTGTTGTGAAAACAATAAGATTAGCTTACTTTTGTTTCGACGGCGACGGCGATGGCGATGGCGACGAAGAGGAGAGAGCGGGCGGTCGGGGGGCGGTAAAGTAAACGTGGAAATAAAATGGGAAAACAGCAAAGAAAAACACAAGTCAGGCAGCGCATAGAAAAACAAACATGGAGCAGATAGCACACAGCGGATAGCGCCGCATATGTGAAGTTATTTGCCTGGCAAAATCCTTTACTGCTCCTGCCTGAGAGTTGGACAAATACCGTGCTGAAAGAAAAGGCTCCATAAGCCGGTTTTCCCGCTTTTCCGCCATTCGAACCCCGTAATATTGACAAGCTGTCAGCTAGAGGCGCAAATTAAATAACACATTGAGGTCTGTGTCGCTGAGCCCTGCTCATATTATTAACACCAAATCAAATGTTGGCCCGATATTTATAGGGATGCGGGCTTAGACATCACGAATAGGACTTTGCTAATCAGTTTGATCCTTTTGTGGCTTAATCGCTTGACATTTGTCTTAGTTCTGTGCCACTTGCCCAGTCCCCCGCCCGAACCTCCCCCCGCCTTCAGGTGTCAAACGCTGTGTAAATTAATCCCACTTCGTGTTCCCGCCTAATTTCCACGTGTGTGCCATTAATTGACAATTGCTGTCCGTCACTTGCCTCCTTTTGTGTTTTTCTTGGCTGAATGGCTGCATGGCTGAATCGCCATTGTTTGGTTGGCGGGAGGCGTCCGTAAAATGCGTTGCTCTCTGTAGTCGGCAATTTAATTTAATTACAAGGTAACCTTATCACTGGAGGGAAAACGAGCACCTGCCACACACACAAACAACCAGCGCTTGAAAAAGCGAGCGTTTGCATGAGCACTGAGAGAAAGTGCATCTCGAAAAGTAAAAGGGACTCTAATGCATAGGGTCCCACTTTTATTTGAAGCCGTGCTATTATTTAATATGATCATTCGCACCATTTTCAGTGTTCGATATAACATTTACGTTGGCCTCACACAATATGCGCCCTTAGTTCCAAAATCCTTTAATCCGATTTTTTTGGGAGTGTTGCAAGTTGTTTGGCTGGTGCAGCCTGCACCAATCGGCTGCGTGGACCGGCACTTGCCTCGCCACCATTGTCGTTCTCCCGTTGGGCTGCTTTGGTGTATTGGCGGCGAGTGGCAATTATGATGATTACACAAATTTGCGTTCGCACTTGAACGCGCGACTCCTGGCGCAGCTCAGGCGATGTGGAAAGCATGGAAGCATCTTTACTGTGCATGCAACGATTTATCAATGGGGCGCATCTAATGAAGCCGGAATGGGCTCGCAAATGTTACACTGGAGATTAGGCTGGGGATTGGGGATTGGGATTGGCTGCCTTTTGTGGCGAAATTATATTTCAATCTAATTCATGGTGAGGCAGACGTGGGCTGGCCCCATTTCCCCGAGTGGCTGTCAACCCTTTTTGGCCGTAAAGGAGGCCAGGCTCAAAAATTAATTTATCAAAATTACGGAAAACAAAACTGGCCCACAGAGGCAACAGATGCGCCCTCACAGTCACACACAAAACAATCACATGTCAAATTTGAAACCCACTAAACAATGCCAGTTGCGGACCTCTGGGGTTGGGTCCTTGGATTGCCATGTATCCGAGTTGCTGGGTGGCTGGGTGGCTGAGTGGCTGAGTGGCTGAGTGGCTGAGTGGCTCTTTGGTTTCCGTGGGCAGCTCGTTGCGGTCGTAACCGCGTGAACTTACCAGTGCATTTATCTTCATTTCTGGCATCTTAGTCAAGGGTCGCCGAAGCGCGGGTGGAGAGGGGGAAAGGCTAAGACGCTAGAGTAAGATATCAACAAAAATAGTCACAGAAAGCCCCAAAGAAGATGGGGGAAGGACGAAGGAGGAGAGCGGCAAAGGTGAAAGGACATCCCAACGACATGACATATTAGAATCCTGTTACGCAGCAGCAACAGCAGCGTTGCCGGTTGACTGCCAAATTGCCAACATAAATGTCAGAGGGGCGAGGAAAGTTGGTATGGGTGGAATGGCTGCAAAGTATGCTACGGGATTTTTCATTTCTGTTGCTTGGGTTTCCCTCCTATTTGTTTTATTTTCTATACCATGCAATCACTCAGCCGTTGAAATCACACATGTGTGCGACTGGATGTCTCCGCGTCTGAGTGTGTATGCGTGTGCGGGCGGAGGAGATGATTTGGAAATCCTGTATTGCTGATTTGCTGTTGCTGCTGTCGTCGCAGCTTTTGCCTTCAGGTGCGTGTCGTCTCCTCTGCTGGGGTTAAAATCCCCGAGGGCCATGCAATGGATTTGTCTCTCCTTGGGTGGAGATGAAATAGAATTTCCCCTCCCCACTCTTCAGTTTAAAGCAACTTTGCCAACAGGAAATTGACGAAAATTTGAGATTTACGGAAATGTACAACTAACGAGGGAATTAAAAAGGACTTCTCATGCAATTGCACAAGTCCCGCACTTGACAGCCAACGTCGCCGGCTTCTGCTCACATGATTCCTTAGGTGGCGCCTCGGCCGGGGCGGGGCGTCGACAACAATTCACTAAGCATCTTATCTTCAGGTTGCCACATTGCAGTGCCACCAGCAGCAGCAGCAGCGGCAAAAGCTGCGACAGCAGCAACACAAATAGCAAATGACAGGCGGCGAAATATGACGCAAAACTCAGAAATAAAGGAACAGTCAACAGTAGCTGGGCCAGGACGCCAAACAATCAGCTGAATGCTGCTCAGGTGGGTCGCCAGACACAGGACACAAAAGGTGGAAGGGAAAAGGGAGAAGGGAAACCCAAGACAAGACATTCGCACAATGGACACGGGCACAAGAAAGAAAGCTGAAGAACTGAATGAGAAATTGTATAAATATGTTGCCAGCAGCGAACAGCACACAAGATTAAACCTCTTCCACTCGCACAAACACACTCCTGCATTTTAAGAGATTTTCCACTAGAGAGAGCGGCGGCGTTGACTTTTCCACTCGTCTGACTTGTCTCACGTTGTCTGCGGGCCAACAACAAGGCCTTTTACCAGGATTAGTAGTTAACAAGAGAAATCTGCCCACGCACACACAACTACAGAGGGGCACGCACACACACACACCCACGATGTTGGGCCGCAGCCAAAAGGTAATCAGTGAAATGTAACTGTATTGTTTGGTCTAGCTGTGTTGGTGTTGCTGTTGCTGTTGCTTCAGCCATTGTTGCTGCTGTGTCACCTAAGTCACAGGCCCCTCCCTCCCCCTCCATTGGACGCTTCTTGTTTCGGCCCTCGTGTTGCTGCTGCTGCAGCCTCTTAACCTTTTTCGTTGTTGTTTGTGTTGCTGCTGCTGCTGCTGCTGCTGCTGCTGCGATCTCTTTTTAAGTAGTTTGCTTTTGGGCTCACCAGCACCAAAGCCACCCCGCAAAGGTGACAACCTCGCAAGGGTTTCCTCCTGGCCGGATTGTTGCTGCTCCGACTGCGCTGCGGTTGCCCCTGCCACACCGCACCACTCCATCCCACCACTTCCATTTAAGTAATCAAAATATGCTTTTGACTCCGAACTAAGCAGCTGGCATCCCCGGGCTGGCCTCCTGATTCGTTTGTCTCCTTGGTATGCGTGCGGTTTCATTTGTATTTATGTTCACCCCACATCACCCACTGGATTCCTCCGTGTGGGCTGTCCGCAAAACCCCAAAAACTATGCATTTTACTGCTTTTGTCAGACACGTGTGTGTGCCAATGTCTGCGCGGCCATGTGTATTTATTTGAAAGCTTTTTAAACTTTGTCAGTGACTTTGTGGCTTACGAAATTAAAATTAGAAATTGGTTTAGAGCACCCACAAATACAGGCCAGCTTCCAAAGCTTCCAAAGGACGCACAGAGCGTGTGTGCATTTATGATGGCCAAATCTCTTGAGGAACGGGGTTTAAGTTGCCCAGAAAGTGTAATTAATCAGAAGGTTCGCCGGCCGACCCGCATTTGCATATAAATCGTAGCTGCTTCATTTGTTCTCTGTGGCTTAAGTCTTAATTGCCACATTAATAACACTTAAAACCGGAAGTTTGCCGGAACCAGCAGCAGATATTGGTATTGATATTAGAGCATCTAGGGAAGTTGGTTCGATATTACATCTAAAATATGAACACATTATACAGAATTCTGTGTTCTTAAATACATGAGTACGGTGGGGGAGAAAGTTTAGATCGAAAAAAGGTAGCTTATTCCACTAACGATAGTTACCAATTCTTAAAAACAGTAGCCATTCTTGGCCTTACTTACATTGTGACTCTGGTCCGTCTTCAGCTCGCGATGGTTGGAGAACTGCACGTAGACCATGCGGCCGCGCATCTGGGGCGGATTGACTGTGTAGCACGACACCAGCGACGTGGCGGAGATCTCGTCGGCCATCTCGATGAACGCCTGGTTCTTGCCCTTGAGCACCAGCACTTTGGTCACACGTCCAAACGGAATGCCCAGGGCAATCACATCTGCCTCGCCGGACTCGTTCGGAATGTTGCGCAAGTGGATGACTTTTGAGGCCTTGGCTGCAAGGAAAAGCGTAAAATAAGCAAACGTTGTTTAACCGATTGAAATATTAAACAGGTGACAATCCCTAGGTCTCTCTCTCTCTCTCTCTCTCTCTTGCAACTTTGCAACTTTGCAACCTGCCCGTCTCTTTTGGGGGCCACCTCCGGTTCACTTAATGGCCAGCGCTGTCTGCACTTCCGCTTCCGCGCTTCACTTAATTTGTTTGTTTTCGGGTTTTATTTGCTGGATGCCTTTGTTGCTAGAGCAGAGTGGAACGGTGCAAATAAAATGTTGATAACATGGCCAAGCGCCGCCACATTTGTATACACTTTGCACAGTTAAGCCAGCGGCGGGGAGCAGGAAGGGCACCGCCATAAATTCATTCATTGCACACTTTCAACGGCTGTGAATAATCCAGCAGCAACACGGCGACAATGTCCGGCGCACAGACAGCGTTTGAGGCTTTTAGGCGCTCGTCGACGTTTTTGCAGTTTCTCTCCTCGCCGGCTACTTGTTTGTTATTTTTGCATAAATAAAGCGAGCCGCCCATCGCCATTGCCACTCCCCCACAAGTGGTGCAGCACAAATGGGATTTAGGAGCCTTTGGCCTGGCAGCGTTTGCAGCCAGATTTCGGGAATATCCCTGCAACAGCACTGCGAGATATTACCTGTTCGAACGGCCCCCAGTCAAGCAAACCGTCTTGAAAATGTAATGTGGTTACAACGAGTTGTAATTCCACGATAAGTCAATGGGCGGCTCCCCAATTATTCGCTATACTCATCTTCAGGGGCACTTTTTCGCTGAGTGTGCATTGCCACAGAAGTGCCTTAAATTTTTTAAAAACAAAGGCAAACAAATTTGCCACTCGTTATGCAGTTGCAGGAGGAAGGGCGGGGGGCGGGGGGCGGGGGGCTGGGATCTGGCTGGCGCTTAGTCAACACCTGTTAATGTGTTGGGTTGTGCGCTTTTTATTTTTGCCGCACCTGCAAGAGCACATTTTGCTGTTCATATGCAAATGAAATGCAGTCGCCCCCCAAGCCCTTATCCGATTTTCAAACACCCTGGTGTTTGCTAAACAAGCCGACACATGGTCACAGATAGTCCACGGGTAAACGTGGTTTCGAGTTCCGGACAGAGTCCATCTCCCGTTTTCGGAGTGTCCGAATTTAAGTGAATTTAAGGTGCAACCAAGCACTAGGACAATCGTATTAACTGGGTATTATGTTTTATTTTGAAACAAGTTTTCGAACGCACTTCCAGTTCCTGAAGTCAAATTATCAAATTTTATCTACTTCAGCGTTTGGGGAATGGGTTTCGGGAATCTTGATAAATCGATGCTTCAATCGCGAACTTTCTTCGATAGCTTTCAATGTGAAAAGGTCATTATCCTGCCAATGCCGCACACTCACATTCAATCATAACCCAGACGATGGGGGTCAATGTTCTGATATATTTCACAATGCCACTAAGCAGCCAAGGAGGCTGAATCGGGTTTTTCCCTAACCCACTTTCCAGGAACCTTTGTGCCTGCAAAAGGGAAAAGTCAAGCCACTCCGAGAGGCTCGAGTGCCGAGGCTCGAAGTGCACTGTGGAAACTCGCCCTGCTGCCGGTCAATGTTGAATACAACTAATCGGAAATTACACTTTTTGATTAGTTCGAAACGGAAATGAAGCCGAAACGAAATTATGCAGACGGGTCAGGACCTGTGCGGTCGTTATAGTTTGGCGTTCTGCCTTTCGAGCGGCAACTCAAAAATTTATTAAAAATCGATGGGCAACTGCAGAACGATAATATCTGCTCCATCACTCTACTGCCCCACAACTCACCATAAATAACAGACGAAATCGAAAAGGACTGGGCGCTGCTCTGAATCAAAACTAAATAAAAAGTGTCGATGGACGCGCTCCGGAAATGTTCTGCACAAGACAAACAACAAATCAAGTGCCGTCGGCTGGTTGCCTCAAAAAAGGCTACGGCAAAAATATGTAAAGGTATCTATCATGCATGATGATGTTGTCGGCGAACGGGCGAAAAACTGGCGGAATTTGTGGATTTTTTCACGTTCCGCTGCCAAGAGCTCAATTCGATTTTTCTGCACTTTCGGTTCTCCTTAGCTACATTTGTTTCAAATCGCAGCCAACACGGCTGCCTGATGGTGTGAAAAGAGAAACATCAATCCAATGAGCGCGTCGACAAGCAGTGCATCTCCGGGAGCCTTCGGCTGCTGCACTGCTGCACTGGCTCCAACAAAGGCGGCGTCGTAATTGAAAAGGAGGATGGCGCCCAGCGATGACGACAACCGGAAACGCAGCCAAAAGCCCGCCAGCTACAACTTCTGCTGGCAAAAAATTTCAATTTGAATCGGGCGGTTTCGGTTTGGGGCAGGCTACGGCCTGCGGCCAGATTTGTTAGCAGTTATGGCATTGCTGCTTTTTAATTAACAGCGAACTAAATAACCCGAACCAGCAAATATTTGCGCAGCAAACAATAATTGCAATTTGTGGCAGAATCAAAATTAATCATCAGTTTAAAAACAGCTGCTGCAGCTCGAGCGATTCCCCACCGGCGCACGGATACCCTAGGATAAGCACGGCTATAAGCACAATGCTATGTCAACAAGCCCGAAATGCATTAACTGGTCTGGCTGCAAAAAGTGCAGCGATAAAATTTGCATTCGATAATGATGTCGCTGGCGCCGCCTGTTGACTGTCAATGCCCCATGGATGATATGAATAGCAATCATTCGCTCGGCTGCGCGTTAAAATGAGCTGCAAGGACGTAGGGCCAAAGCTCAGCAGTATTAATGACCCTCACACACTCTCACCCTCTCACCCTCTCATGCTCTTTGCGAAAAGCGGGGAACGCGCCCCATCCTGCCGTTTTCAATTAAACACACAGCCTCTCACCACTTGCAGTGAGTTGCACGAAAAATATACATAAATAAACTATTTATGGCTAATTGAAAAGTTTACAAACTGTAATTGAGTTCGGACGTCGATGGTCGGGTTGCAATGAATGGTCAGTCAGTCTGTCCAGCGCGGCGTATGTGTAATAATTTACCCCTACCCATCACCCATCCCTTAACCGATGCGAACCAAGTTAATTAATGACAATTTAAATTCATAAAGCAAACAGAAACCCCAAACGAAAAATGTAAATGAAAATGAATGGAAAAAGCGAGTGGAACAAAAGAAAAGGGCTTTCCCCAGGGCGATGGGCGATGGGCGATGGGCGTGGCGTTCGGGATGAAATAAGTGCTGATTGTTAATAACAATTAAATTTATGCTTACATGGCGGCATTTAATGATTTAATGTGAGCGTGACGCCAGTGTTTGTCTCCGAGTTCCGCCGCCAAACTTTGCCGAGGGTGTGTCAACAGTCGAATATATAATTTAAATAAATACACGCCGAACTCACGCACACGGAGCCGTTCGAGCGTCTTTAATTATGCGCCAGTAAATTAGATTTTTACAAGCTCACACATCATAAATTTTAAATTGTTGGGCAAACTTGTGTCCTTTACGTGTCTGTCGGCTCCTCTGCCTCCTGTGCCTCCTCTGCCTCATTGTGAGCACAACGACTTAATGATATTTGTTTAGCCAGCCAGGCCTTGTCTATATTTTAAACATTTGCCCATGCGTAATCAATCATGGCACGTTTTTTTGGCAGCAAATGAAACCCAATGCCAGAGGGCCCGTTGCCTTTGGATTTCTGGAAAATCCCCCGACACAAAAACTGGCCCATAATTGAAAATAACGATTTTCTTTTTACAGCTCAAGCTTAACACCCGCAAGAAATGTAATTCATTAAAATTTTGCCAGAAAAAGGAGGGGTAGTGGGAATGGCTGGAGCTCTACCAACTGAATACAAATGCACGGAGTCAACGTTCGCAGTTAGGTTTCAACAGCCTGAGCGTTGATGACGACGACGTTAACAAAATTTAATTGCATTTCAATTAGGAAAATAGTTTTTTTTCACCCCATGCAGCATCCTCTTCGCTCACACTACACACATCCGAGTGGCAGTCTGAAACTGCATTGGCATTTAGCAGGTTGCAGGATACTGGCTGGCAAGATGAGGACTCCATGTCTGTGTGCAGTCAAGTGGCTTTCAGTCAAACAGCAGAGCGCCAGGACTCGAATGTGATTGCACCTTAGAAAATATAGTTCAAAACTGAATAATCAAGAGTCCATTTAGCTTCTATATACTCGCAATATTTGCGTATGTTTCTTGGTTGCTTCCCAACGCGCTTGATATTTCTGTGCTGCTTTCTTTTTTGTGTTATTTCGTGCAGGAATACCCACTCCAAAGTATTTTTTGTAGTGTCCGACTTCATCTGCGAGCCAGTTAGCAGTCTGTAACGTATAACAATGGTTTAAGTTATGAGCAAACAGGGAAGGTTTGTTGGTCCTGGCAAACTTTTTCCACTTCATTTGTGCATTAAAACTATGCATACAGCTACAGGAATTCGGGCGTCCAACGGGTCGTATGCTTAATTAAATGGCGCACACAAATATTTCGCAGTTTCCCACAGCCTCTCAGCCTCTCAGCCCCTCAGCCCCTCACACAGTGGCAGGAAATTCAGAAGTCAACCCGAGTACTGCCTGAAAGTCCGCTGCCACTAACCGCACTCACGTTCTGTGACTGCCATAAATAGCTGCACACAACGCAAGCCAGTCAGCGAGTCAAACCAATTGACAATTGTGTTTGCCCTTGGTCTGGCCGGATTTTTACACTCCTTTCAATGCTGTCTCAATATTGATACAGATGGCAGAGAAAACAAAAAAATTATGACAATATTATTTTATTGACTGCGAAAATATTTACACGCAACGCGCAGCCCAGGAAGCAGAGCACAGGACGTGCGAATGATACCCGAGCCAGAGCGGCACGCGCAGGACTCGCAGGACACTTGCCGTATCCAAACTGTCGCCTTATTGGTTATGGCCGTAAAAGCGTTTAAGTGCTTGACAAGACCACCGAAGGGATTGCCAGCGCCGCACTGCGCTGACAGCAAACCTTGAGCTTTAAATTGATGACAGTGGTGGGCTGATTTAAGGCTTAAGGATGACCGGTCAGGCATATTAAAAACAGGACACTGTATATCCGAATTTTAGATATTTTTTCAGCATATTTTCCTGCTGCCGCTGGCTGTCTGGTCAGAGAATTAGCAATGCTGAGAGCCGGAGAAAAAATACGGTCCACACGCAGCGACAACAGCTGCAGATCTCTTTTTTTGGCGGTAGGTCCTAGCTGCCATAGGTGGTGAGCTGACCGTTAAGCCCCCAAAATCGGTCAATAAACAAACAAATGTTGGTGGACTGTGCAAACAGCGTGGAGGCGATGCATGTGTGAGAGCTGTAACAATAAACAACAAACTGAAATTGCGGGGGAGGGGCGAGTGTCGCGACAACAAAAGCAAAACACGTTCTAGCCACGTTTGGTGTTTCAGCCGGACACGCGACACGCTATGGTCTACACGGGAAAAAGTCGGCCAATCAGTACTTCATCACTTGTTAAATTAAAAACTTGTTAAATATATCAATGGTAAAATTAGGCATTGTTACAAAATAAATAATTTGATTAAAATACTTTTTAACAAGTCGCACTTACGAATAAATGTATAACTAATTTGTATCTACCATGCCCACTTTTTTCCCCCTGTTATCCTTGGAACTAACGGTTACGGCGCAACTCTCTGGGGCCTCGTATACCTGGCATAAAATATTCCTAATAAAAAATCAAATAAATCAAGCGAAGCTAGTTATTAGCCGGTCAAAACTCGGGCCAAGAGGGACCGAGACTTACTAGTTTTGCTTTCGCAGATTGCGTACTTGCTTGTGTGCGTGAGTGTGTGTGAACACTTCTAGCCACCACACGCAGTCACTCCACTCACCAATACACGAAAAACGGAGCCCCTCAGATCAAGTGGATGGGCGTGGCACCGACTTCCCCCCCGTGGCCGTATCCGCATAGACCGGCATCTCCACCTCCTACGCGCTGCACATGCCAAAGTGTTTTTATTACATTTACGTGAAAAATTTGTTGCATGTCCTTCTAAGCTCTTGTATCGGAAACGCGAGCGTGCGTGTGTGCGTGTGTGCGTGTGTGCGAGTCCAGTTATCGATGTATTGGTCTAGTGGCGCTTGGATACAATTGAGCCGAGTGCGTGTGTTTATCTAAGGCTCGACCACAGGGCGCACAATGCTCATTGTTGCTTTTTAGATTTCTGCTATTTGCTTGTCTGGTCTTTGTTGTGCTCCGTGCCACTCCTGGGCCCTCAGACATGTATTGGTGCTTGCAGTGTAATAAAAGTGTCTCTACACATTTATTTGGCAATTCCCTTTATTATTATTTTTGGCATCATCGGCATGGCCTCTTTGTGTGGGCAAGGAGAGCTTTAAGAGGTCACCTAGCCTCCCTCTCTCTCCTGCCCCACCGAGTATCCTGCTTCCTTTGAGCGCGACTTTAATGGAGCAGGACAAAATGCGTCGTGTGTGCGTGTGTGTGTGTGTGTGTGTGTGTTTGCACAAGAACTTTACGTGGAAAATTAAAATGGCCGCAGGTAGCAGGCGTCCAATAGGTGTAGTCGGGCCATGGCCACAAAAATGCCGTTGGGTCAAAGTAGTCGTCTGCATCGACCGTCGAACAATGGCAAAAGGTGAAGGGGTGAAGGGGTGAAAGGCGACCCGCTAACTGCCTTTCTCTCTGTGTGCGTGTGCGTGTGCGTGCGAGTGTGCGGGTGTCTGCTTGTTGCTTTTTAATTAATAGAAAAGTCCTTTGTAAAGTAATAAATAAATATTATGCTTCCGCTTTTGCGTACATTTTTTCGCTCTCAGCCGATTGCCATTCACAGGCTGCCGATCCTTCCGCAACCCTTTTTTCGTCCTTTGTCCACCCATCTCTTGTCCTGGCGTGACCTTTGGCTGTCTGGCGGCTAATGCTCAAGCGTTCCCTTTGTGGCAAGCACCCACTCATACTCACCACCGATGTTGCTGGCGGCGGTGAACGCTGTTAATTACGGCTAAATTGCAAAAGCATTTTGAAAACTCCCACGAAAGGGATATCGACGCACAGCACCTGCATATGGCGTTAATTAAATTCGCTCGCACAAAAGCAGCGCAATCGGCGGGCAGAGCAGTCGATTACTTTTGAATTTCAGCGGAAATTGTTGCCTATTGATTTGTTTGCATTGGAAATCATTTTGTGGCTCACTGGATTTTTGTGGGAAGGCATTGGCTTTCAAATCCAGTTTTGGCGGGGAGCCTACGAACCCGTCAAATATTTGCCTAATGTGTGGTTCATTCTGCTGGTTTCGGTTCACTATGGTTTCGACGGCTTGGTGTGCGGTTTTTGATTAGCTTTATTACTTTGCGGCGGCATACACAGGGCGATATTCGTACCGGCTAAGCGTGTGTGGGTATGGGCGGCTAATTAATGTGTCGACACAGTGCGTAGCCAGCCAGCGGACGCCAGCCATTTTTCCCGTAATAATTTTCCGGCAGCACAAAAGGGCCGAACCAAATATTTTCGCTGTTGACTTGTTTCCATGCTAATTAGTAGGTTAATTGGCTATAGCCATCAAAGCGCGCTTGCCTTCAATAGGGGTACTCAAGTGCACAGGCGACTTTGTGGCCATGCTGAAGGCTTAAGCCTAATGCTAATGCTGCACTGAGACCCACAAGCCAAGTTCACAGGACCCCCAATAATGCACCCCCAAAATAGGAGGGCGGCAGTACTTTCACCACTCAGACTGTAATTTCTTCTGTTCTTATTTTCTGATGAGAATTGAGAGATTTGCAATATACATAGCTACTTTTTCGAAGAGGTGTGCCTAACGCTTTTTTCAGTGTACAGTACTGTCCCAGTGGGCGTGGTTAATTGGCAGACAAAACCCAACTGGGCCCAAGACCATGGCTGCAAATGCACTTAACATAAGCGTCGCTCAGGGGACGGGAGAGGCAAAGGCAGGGTTTAAGCCAAGACAAAAGGAAAGGCAAGGTTAATGCAAAGGTAAGCCGGAGAGAGGGAATGATAGAGAGAGGATAGAGAGAGGCAGACACAGATGAAAGGGGATAGAACTGAAGACTTACCAATTCCGCCGGCCAGCACGGTGCCCGGCTCCAGTTTGGCCTTCTTTGTGGCCAGGTCCTGATTGTTATTGTCGGAAGCGGGCGCCATGACTGCTGCTTGACTCAAAAGTTCGTCGCTTCCGCGCTGATTTTCAGATACACGGTTTCAGGCACAGGAGAGGATGCGGGAGCAGTTTCAAATGCAGATGCAGATTCGGATTCGGGTTCAGATTCAGATGCGGGAGCAGGTAGGCACAGGCACAGGCACAGGCAGTTGGTTAATATTTTTATATAGTTGTAGTTTGTAGTTGATGCACAGGCGGCAGGGCAGGCACAGACAGAAGTTGAAGATGGTTTATTTTCAGTAGTAGTGGTGTGTAGTTGTAGTAGATGAGGAATATATATACGTATACGAGTACGGTACATAAAAAGAGAAAATAAAGAGAGAGAACAATATAAATATTTAATATTTACGCAAGCTAAATAAATTACAGAGATTCTTCAGCCCCACTTCCGCCCCCCTGCAAAGGATTTGCATAGCTCAGGGATTTTGTTTAGGTTCGGCTCTCCAGTTTGGTTGAAGTCAACAAGAAAAGTGGGTAAGTGGAAATTATTGTGCCAAGCGGACTGCAGTTAATCGTTATCCAGTGTTTGCTCAGCTATTTTCTGACCAGCGCAGTTTACATAGCCGCAGCTGCATAAAAATAAAATCCACTCGTTCCCATTTGGTTACTCATAAAAGAAATGCATGGAAAATATTCATTTGAATTAGTCCGCTAAGCAGTTGGCGCATTGTTGCTCCTCTTTCTGCTCTCCGTTTGCTTTTTCGTGCTTTATTGCAGCGCTAAACTCTAATTACAAAGCACATGAGTGTATTGTAATTACATGTGACACTTAATTACCGCACTCACACAAAGAGTCGAAGCCAAACCAGCAAACCAGAAGCAAAAGTTGGAGCAGCAGCCATCGAAGCGAACATCCACTCGGCGAAAAATTGTGCTCTTCGAACCTTAATTTTATTTATTTTAATTTTTTATTATTCCCTGCTTGGAACTTTAAATAAACATTTTCCTTCAAGCGTCCAGTCACGGCATAAAAATGCTTGCAATGCCAACACTCGTGTCCAGCTGGCCTATTTCCTAGCAGTGTGGGAATCTGAATCACACGCGGAGCCGGAGTCGGATTCCCAGAGAGCATCGTAACCGAGTTAAGCCAAACATTAAATGTAATGCGCCCCATAAAAATAAAGCTGCTACAGCTCCAGCTACTGCTAATGCGGATTCTGGCTGTACTGTGCTGCGCAGGATGCGTGTGTTGGTGGCCGTGCCTCTGTGGCAGTGAGGGTGTGCTTGCTCACTTTCTGCTGCTATGCATTAGCCGCAATGACAAAAAGTCAATAAACGGTAGCTGGCGGTGGGGAGGCAGCACACCGCACAAATTGAAAAGGGTAATTTTGTGTGAAGTAGGCACCTCTATGCCCCGTGCCACATCTCCATTCCCGTGCCATCATCAGCTATCAATGCTGACTACGCTTGAATTCGCCACTTGGCTTATCATGCTGCGCGCTTTCGCTTTCGCTTTTGCTCTGCGTTGCTTTGCTTTGCTTTGCTTTAGCTTATTTGCTTTTTGCCTGCTGGCTGATGGCTGCTGCTTTTGTTGTGCTTTATTTGTTATTTGCTATTTGTTGCTGGGGCTCTTATTTTTATGTGGCTGCACGTTTTATATACACCTACAGCCGCACACATAAAGGAATTAGCTTAAATGCAAAAACAACATGTGGTAATAGGAATAATAAGAAAAGCCAGAGACCACACACTCCCGCGTGTGTGGGTGGGGTGCAAGAGAGAGAGCGGTATGCATAGACAAAGAGAGCACCGAAAACCGCAAAAGCACTTCACTTGATAATATCACACACAAAAAACACACGACACAAAACCGAAGCGGAAGTTCACTGTGTGCGTGTGTGCGTGATAGTCGTTGTGCGAGTGGCAGTGTGCGTGTGTGGGTGTGGGTGTGGGTGTGGGCCGAGCAATGATATCAGCACAAGATGCTCACTTTTGTTGTTGTTCTGCCTGTGCTTAACATGTGTTTTGTGGCGGCGAAGAGCAGCTGCCCGAAAAAAGGTAGCACACTTTTTGGAGCTCCTCTCTTAGTTGACTTCATCGGAGTAATGCATATTGGTTTTCCTCCAAAGGGGTGCTCTCGAGCCTCTGCAGAGGTAATTAAATTTTAAATGCCCTTCCGCCCACGGAAGAGTTGCCAACTAACTGCGCTTACGTAGTACGATAGTACGATAGTACGGGTCTCTAATGCATTCGTTATGGCACATTAACGCTCCCCAAGTGCCAGCTGGCTGGCATGCTACAGGGATTTGTCGACTCTCAACGGGATATTGTTGTCCGTGTGTGTGCGCCAGTGTGCATTACACGGTTCAGAAAGCCGGGCTAATGCCCTCTCACGCTGTTCGGGTTCGGACTGTGCGACGATTTCCTTTTTGCCAAGCTGACCGGAAATGTTATTTTAATATGCTTTCTAAAAAGTATGCTAAATATTTGATTAGTAGCAGAGTGTGTCTGTGTGTGTGCACCCTTTCCTTTCCTATGTGTGGGCGAGTGTGTGGCACATATGGCCAGGACGATAAGCTGCTGTCCAAGTGGACCGTTTCATTGTTGGCTCGCCTCTGTGCCATTTTAATGAATTTCCCCAGCCTCGCCACCCCGTCTCCGCCTCCGCCTCCGCCCCTCCTTCCACTCATTTCCCCCCCTCCTTTCACTCTGTTCATGAGCAACGCCCCATTGCCGGAGGGCGTGGGCAGTTGGGCACTCGGGCACTCACTGATTTCAATGATGACATGTGCCTTTTCAGCCCCTCCTTGTCTCTCTTTCAGCGTGTTTCCTTTGCTTCCGCCTTTGTTGCCGGGTAACTGGGTCAGCGCGCAATTGTTGCCTCAGAGGGTTGCTGCCTCCCATCGCTCGGCGCTCGACGCTCGAAGACCGTCGCCCTTGCCGTTCGTGTTGTCCTTGTTCTGGTCCGACGCAGCAAAGGAAAGATAATCACGCATATGCCTAACGGTTAAGTTTTGAAGTCCGCAACGCTGACGGACTCCGAGAAGGGAGCACGGGCGGAAGCAAGGGTGTCAGCGCCATCAGAAGCGAGCAAAAACCCTTCATTCCTTTTTCCTTTATTGTGCCTGTAATGAGCAATTCATAAACTGAAAGAAAAGTCCAGTTTTTATGAAAATTTTGCCACTTTAGATTCGTAATCCAAAGATGCACTTTCTTTTTGTTAGTAGTAACAATTCTACTGCTACTGTGTAGTTCCGCAAAAATCCATATAACGAATTTCTAAACCGTTTTCACGTAACCTTTAATCAAATTTGTATCCCTGAACTAGGAGTGTGTTCTAGCATTGCATTGTCTCATCCATATTTGTCCATCCCTTGGACACAGGACCCACCCAGCCATGTTGGCTCTTAGGGGTTGTTGTTGTTTAATTTCCCTCAAGAGGCTACATGCGATTTTCTACTCGAAGACGCTTTAAAAAGGAGCAAAGCTGAAAAGCTGAGCACACACAGAAAATGTGTAATGGAGAGCGGGCAAAATGATATGAGCACTATATGATTATCCAGTGGAAAAGGGACTTCGGGTTATTACTGCCATGGTGAAGTATTGGACAGGCTGAGAGCTTCGCAGTCGCCAAGACACGGAAAAAGCGCCAAATTAGAAGGCAGTCCTTCTACATAATGAGCAGTACTTCGTGGCGTTGTCCACGACTGTGATTTTTCCACAACTTTGTATGGCGTACTTACGCTTGCAAGTGGGTGATTCACCGAGTCTCCTGCTGGTCCTAGTTGGTAATAACTCTGCATTAAGTTGGGAGGATGGCCAAGTAGGGAAATGGAAAAGTTGCTCAATATCAACGCCCTCATATATTGCATGGCGTCTGCTCTCTGTATCTCTTTGTCATGAATTTATGACGACGGCATATGAATATTAAAATCGAATATGTTGCTGTCGATTTAAGGCTTTCGTTTTGTCTGACTGCCTGTAGAACACAGCAGCGTTCCAAACAGTAGCAAAGCCACAATCGAAGGTTTCCAGAAACTTTGTGAGTTATGTGAGCGCTTAACAATTTTTCATTACTGATAACGTGCTTGAAAAGTTTCAATTCATTAAATTAATTGATAAATAATTGTGCACGACTGACTAGCACTATCTTTTTGACTGCAACTGTGCGAGTGTTTGCTTTGCTCACGACACAGATACGACTGAATATTTCCGGTTCTGCAACGAATCGGTTCATTGATGTTCGATGGTCTCCTTTTCTCCACCGCTGCCATTATGGATGATGGCGGTGATGATGATGCCACATGGGTAAATGGGTGAATGGGTGAATGGTAAAGGGCCATGATGCCGCTGCGAGTGCCGGCAAAAAATGCATATGTAGGTAAAAATAACAACAGCGGAAAACTGCAGCCATAACAAAGCAGCTATCTCCGGTGCACCTCCAACTCAACCTGCCTCTATTGAAAAAACAATTATTGATACCGTTCATGCAGCAGCAGCAGCAGCATCTGTTTCAGCAAGCGAAATGGGGGAACTCTATTCTGATGATGCTTTAAAGCTATCTTTAAAGTGACTGCCAAGCATTCAATAAATTCTAATTAGAACCCAAACGAGACAACCACTGTACAACCCACCCAAACAGACTCGAGCGCTATTTGTTAGCCAGTTGTCAGATGATAAACGCAACTTGTAGCTGCGGCCACATAGATACAGATACGGGACTCAAACCCTACTCAGTCCACCAGCCGCCGACTAAGCCACCTAACCCACCTAACCCACCTGCCGACTCTGGGCAATAAATTATATGAAAATGCCGCCAAAGTATAACAGCTGCGGTTCGTGCTAAACTCCGGCCGCAAAAGTCGGAGGAGGAGTATCGAAACCACAGCAACAAGAAAGAGTCACTGGCTGGGCTCAAGTTTAATATGAAATACTCGTATCCAGGAGCTAGCTCCTCCAGAGGCAAGCCACTTTATTTCATATTTTTTTCTCTCTATTTAAGAAGGGGGAGCGACGGGAATTTATCTAGAAGCGTATATAAAGAAGAAGAGCTGCCAGCTGAATACCACTAAATATTTAC